GAACGGATGGGGAGTGGGCACAAACAGTACGGACGCCTTCGTCTCAAGCGCCGTCGGGCAGGTGGTTGGCCGGAGCCGCCAGGCTCGCGTGATAAATCCTGCCTGTTCTAGCCGCCCCCGTCGCAGTCCCGGGCATGGAGGAGGGGTGAGAGCGAGGAGGCCAGGGGGGAGGAGACTGAAGAGGATGAGCGATGGTGGGGGGAGGGAGGGAGGGAGGGGGGAAGGAGAGCGAGAGGAGGAGACGGGAAGGGAGGGAGTGAAGAGGGAGAGGAGGAGGAGGAGGAGGACGAGGAGGATGAGGAGGATGAGGAGGAGGAGGAAGAGGAGGAGGAGGAGGAGAAGATGGCAGAGGACGCGGACGAAGACGAGGAGGAGGAGGAGGAGGCGTAGGAGGAGGACACATAATTATGTTAATGATAATAAGAATGATCATACGAACAATAGTAATCATACTAATAAGAATAATCATATTTTGAAGAATAAGATGAATAATCATAAGTCGAATACTAAGACGAAGACGAATACTACGACTAATAATACTAGTAATAGTCATATTGCAACTTATATACTATTGTATACTATTGTTTATGGTAAGAGTGATATTCATACGACTAATAATAGCCGTAGTAATGATAAGATTAATGCTAATGATACTGAGGCTAATAATGAGAGGAGGAGGAGGAGCAGGAGGAGGAAGTGGAGGATATGAGAGGAGGAGGAGGAGCAGGAGGAGGAAGAGGAGGATGAGGAGGATGCGGCGGAGGCGGCGGAGGAGGAGGAGGATCAGGATGAGGAGGATGAGGAGGAAGAGGAAGAGGAATACTAACGATAATAACAACAGTAGTAACAATATCACGAACAATAATAATCATAATAAGCAGAAAACTAATGAACGTAAGACGACGAAACAGTATGATACTAACCATAATCATACAAAGAAGAATGATAACACCACTAATCATGATCGTAGTACTAATACTAAGACGAATCATAATCATGCGATTGCAGAGACTAGTAGTAACGAGGATAATGCTAAGACGAATACTAAGACTCATACTAATACTATTAATCATAATATTAAGAAGAAGCATACGAGGACGAATAACCTATTAATACAGTACGGCTATTCGTAATCATACTAAGAAGAATAAGACTGGTACTACACAGACGACGAATAATACCACTCATAAAAATGAAGAGTCCTACGACTACTCATATTACGTAGAAGAAGACGAGTGAGAATACTCATCCGACGGGTAAGAATATTACTAAGGCGAAGTCTAATACTCATAGGAAGAAGACTAGTGGTAATCGTGCTAACACTATTAGTACTACATGTAATACGAAGAATACTATTACTTTTCGTACTATTATTACATTCATAGATATACCAACAATACTAACACTTACATTACTACTCACAATACGATCACGAATTCTATTATTACCATTAATAATACTACTAATAATACTGCTGATAGTACTACTAATACTAAACGTACTGATAATTAATACTATTCCTACTAATCATACTAGTATTGATGCTCGGACTGATGATACATCAGCTACGAAACATACTGCGAATGAAGAGGATGAGGAGGATGAGGATGAGGAGGGGTAGGTGGAGGAGGAGGAGGAGGCGCAAGAGGAGGAGGATGAGGAGGAGGAGGAGGAGGAGGGAGGAAAAAGGAAGAGGAGGAGGAAGAAGAAGAAGAAGAGCACTACTAACACGAATACTATGAAGAATAGTGAGAAGACGAGGAGGAGGAGGGAGGAGGAGGAGGAGAGAGGAGGAGGATGAGGAGGAGGCGGGAGGAGGAGGAGAAGGAGGAGGAGGAGGAAGAAGAGGAGCATGAAGAAGAGGAGGTGGAGGAGGAGAAGGATAAGGAGGAGGAGGAGGGATGAGGGATGAGGGAGGAGGGGAGGGAGGAGGGAGGAGGCATAGGGAGGACGAGGAGGATGGAGAAGAGGAAGAAGAGGAGGAGGTGGAGGAGGAGGAGGATGAGGAGGAGGAGGGAGGATGAGGCGGAGAAGGAGGAGGATGTGCAGGAGGAAGAGGAGTAGGAGGAGGCGGAGGAGGAGGAGGAGGAGGAGGAGGAGGAGAAGGGAGGAAGACGGATCAGTAGCAGAGGCGGATGCGGAGGCGGTGGAGGAGGAGGAGGAGGCGGCGGAGGCGGACGCAGAGGAGGAAGAGGAGGAGGAGGAGGAGGAGGATGAGGAGGAGGAGGAGGAGAAATAGGAGGAGGAGAAGGAGGATGCGGAGGAGGATGAGGGGGAGGAGGCTGAGGGGGAGGAGGAGGCGGAAGAGGAGGAGGAGGAAGAGGAGGAGGAGCGGGATAACGCTACTGCTACTGCTGATGATGATGATGCTGAGGAGGAGGAGGATGAGGAAGAGTAAGAGTAGGATGAGGGGGGAGGAGGGCCGAGGGAGGAGGTCGGAGAGGGGACGATGAGGGAGGAGGAGGAGGAGGACGATGGAGGAACGGAGGAGGACTAAGCTGATACTGATGATGATGCTGCTGGTGAAGATGCTGATGATGATGACGAGTCTGATGACGATTCCGCTTTTGCTGATGATGAGGATGATGAGGACGATTGTGATGATGCTGATGCTGATGCTGATGCTGCTGATGGCGATGCCGATGGTGATGCAGATGACGTTGATGCTGCTGATGATGCTGATGATGCTGATGACGATGATGATGCTGCTGCTGATGATGATGATGCTGATAATGATGATGAGGCGATGCTGGTGCTGCTGATCATGAGGATGCTGTTGATGCTGATGCTGGTGCTGATGCTGACACTGATGATGCCGATGCTGATGATGCTATTGATACTGGTAATGATGATGCTGATGCTGCTACGGATGATGCTGATGACAATGGTGGTTATGCTGATAATGATGCTGAAGATGATGGGGATGACGATGCTGATGATGATGCTGATGGTGATGCTGTTTATGCTGACTATGATGATGAGGATGATGCGGATGACTACGATGATGACGGCGATGATGATGACGATGATGATGCTGATGATGCTGGTGAGGATGTCACTGACGATGCTGATGACGATGATGCTGATGCTGCTGATGGTGTTGATTTCAGATGATCGATGGTGCTCATGGTGGTGTTGCTAATTAGAATGCTGATGGTCATGCTGACGATCATTATGAACATGGTGGTGGTGCTGCTGCTGGTACTGATTCTGCTGATGATGATGTTACCGATCTTGAGGATGCTGTCGATGCGGATGATGATGCTGATGATGGTGATGCTGGTGATGATTATGATGATGCTGATGATGGTGCTGATAATGACGATACTGATGCTGATGATGAGGCTGATGCTGCTGATGGTGATGACAATGCTGATGCTGAGGATGTTGATGGTGCACATGATGCTGATGCTGATGATGATGCTGATACTGCTGCTGATGATGATGCTACGGATGCTGTTGCTGATGATGATGATACGGATGATGCTGATGATGCTGATGATGAGGATGCTCGTGGTGACGATGATGCTGATGCTGCTACGGATGATGACGCTTATGATGATGGCGATGCTGCTGATGATGCTGCTGATGATGCTGATGATGCTGCTGCTGATGATGGTGACGATGCTGGTGATGCTGATGCTGCTGATTATGATGATGATGCGGATCGTGCGGTTGCTGCTGATGCTGATGATGAACATGATGTTGACGACGAAGCTGATGAAGATGCTGTCGATGCCGATGATACTGATGATGACGATGCCGATGGTGATGATGATGCTGATGATGATGAGGATGCTGCTGATACTGATGCTGCTGCTGAGGCTGATGATGAGGATGATGATGATGAGGATGAGGATGAGGGTGGTGATTATGATGCTGATGATGCTGCTGCTGCTGATGATGATGATGATGATGACGGTGCCGATTAGGAGTTGGATGCTGATGATGATGCGGATGCGGATGCCGTTGCTGCTGCTGATGATGATAATGACGCTGATGATGACGATGCCGACGACGACGGTGATGATGATGATGGTGATGATGAGGTTGTTGTTGTTGATGATGCTGATTCTGACGATGATGCTGATTATGCTGCTGCGGATGATGATGATGATGATGATGATGAGGATGCCGCCGCTGATGATGATGCTGCTGCTGATGATGGTGATGTTGCTGATGCTGATGCTGATGATGATGCTGGTGCTGATGCCGCTGCTGCTGCTGCTGATGATGATGATGATGATGATGATGATGATGATGATGCTGCTGCTGATGATGATGATGATGATGATGAGGAGGAGGAGGAGGAGGAGGAGGAGGAGGACGATGCTGATGACTCTGCTGCTGATGACGGTGGTTGTGGAGGTGGTGGCGGTGGTGGCGGTTGTGGTAGTGGTGGTGGTGGTGGTGGTGGTGGTGGTGGGGGTGGGGGTGGTGAAAGGCGGAGGAGGAGGAGGAAGAAGAGGAGGAGGGGGAGGAGGAGGAGGCGGATGAGGAGGAGGAGGAGGAGCAGGAGGAGGAGGAGCAGGAGGAGGAGGAAGAGGAGGAGGAGGGAGGAAGAGGAGCAGTAGGAGGAGGAGGAGGAGGAGGAGGAGGAGGATGAGGAGGAGGAGGAGGAGGAGCAGTAGGAGGAGGAGGGAGGAGGAGGAGGAGGAGGAGGAGGAGGAGAGGAGGATGATAACGAGGAAGGGTGAAGCAGCGAGGGCGGAAGATGGCCGAAATGGGCGCCGCCCTCATCCAGTCTGGCGCCCAAGCGTGCATCACGTATGCCTTCGGTAAGCTCGTCGCTTCTGACAAGAGGTTTCCCTTTCGTGACCTCAGTGCCGCCGCACACACGCCGTCGCATGCAGGCATGCTGCTGAGGAACGCTTCGTGCACAATCCTTGCAGTAGGGCGGAGCAGGGGGAGGAAGGAGAGAGTAGGCATGAGGAATACGACACGGATGAGGAGGATCAGGAAGAGGAGGAGGAGGAAGAGGAGGAGGAGGAGGAAGAGGAAGCAGGAGAGAGTAGGAGGAGGAGGAGGAGGAGGAGGGAGGAGGAGGAGGAGGAGCAGGAGGAGGAGGAGGAGCAGGAGGAGGAGGAGGCAGATGAGGAGGGGAAGGAGGAGCAGTAGGAGGAGGAGGAGGAGGAGGAGGAGGAGGAGGATGAGGATGAGGAGGAGGATGAGGAAGAAGAGGAGGAGGAGGAGGAGGCGGAGGAGCAGGAGGAGGAGGTGGAGGGGGAGAAGGAGAAGGAGGAGGAGGAAGGAGGAGGAGGAGGTGGAGGAGAAGGAGGAAGAGGAGGAGGAGGAGGAGCAGGAGGACGGGAAGAGGAGGAGGAGGAGGAGGAAGAGGAGGAGGAGGAGGAGGAGGAGGAGGAGGAGGAGGAGGAAGATCACTGTCCAGGCTGCCAGGTCTACGAGCGGACCGCCATTAGACAGTCATTCGTGTTTAACATAGGTTCTGTCCAATGGGGGACACCCTTTGCTCAGGGACAACCTGAACCCGTAGCTTGGTGCAGGGGCTTGATCGCCGAGGAGATCCCCAGTCTATCAGCCCTCTTTCACTCGGTAAACGCACGATAGGCATCCCAGAGTGGGGCAGCCCCTACAGAATTTTGGAAGGAATTGCAAGGCCCCAGAATGGGCAGGCGACCCTCACATGCACACATTGGTACCCCGATTGGTCACGGCCATGACCACCTCTGAGTCTTGGCGACGTGGGGATACTTGTCTTGCCTCATACCATGATCGAGAGACCATCGAAGCGGGGGGAGGGTGCCTACAACGCGCTCGGAACGAGGGCCTGTTAGACAATTCTGTTTGGTTCTCTGGTCGGGCCTTGGTCTATCCGATGGGGCGGACGAGAGGGGGATTAGCAAAAGGAGGTGTTATCGAATCAGCTGTGTGCAGCCTGTTCTCCTGGCGCCAGCGACGCCCCTGCCGGGGCGGACGAGACACATGGGGCAAGAGAGTTTGGCGAAGCAGCCGCATGCAGCTAGTTTCTCGGTCGTCTTCCGGCGCCGGAGGCGCCCCTGTCGGGGTGAACGAAGGGTGGGAGTAGCAACGGGGGGGGGTGGGCGAATGCGCTCCATGCAGGCGGTTGCTCTGGCGCCTCACAGCGCCTGTCGGGGATGACAGGGCGGGCGACGAAGTCTATGCATCATCCACTGCCCCCTGACCGGGCCCTTCCTGGGCCCAGGAGCTGTGTATACGCCCTCCTGGCCAAGCAAGGAGGGCGTGGCGTGGTCAGGGAGCAGTGGATGTGCATAGGTTTCGTCGGCCTAGACAGGAGGGGGAATAGCAAGGACTCAGTCGAATGCAGTTGGTGTCTCTGGCGCCCCCCCTGGTGCCGCGGGCGCCCCTGTCGGGGGCGGACCAGGCCTGCCGCGGAGTGCCGGAGCAGTGAGGCCAGAGGAAGCGACGCGAAGAAATCAGACGTTTACCCAGTGAGACTTGCGAGGAACTAACATACGGTGAAACGCAGCATGCGCACCTTGAGGTCATGACGTACCGAAGAGGGGCGTAGACGGGAGAGAGGAGGGTGGATGGTGGTGGTAGTGGTGCTGCTGCTGATGATGGTGGTGATGATGATGGTGCTTATGATGATGGTGATGATGATGATGATGCTGCTTCTGTTGCTGCTGATGATGCTGCTGCTGATGATGATACTGACGATAATGATGCTGAGGATGATGATGAGGATGATGCTGCTGATGATGGTGGTGTGATGATGATGGTGGTGATGATGATGATGACGATGACGATGACGATGACGATGACGATGACGATGATGATGATGATGATGATGATGATGATGATGATGATGATGATGATGATGATGATGATGATGATGATGATGATGATGCTGATGCTGATGATGCTGATGTTGATGTTGATATTGATGTTGATGTTGATGTTGTTGATGATGATGATGATGATGATGATGATGATGATGATGATGATGATGATGATGATGATGATGGTAAGGAGGAGCATGTGGAGGAGGAAGAGGCGGAGGAGGAGGATGAGGATGATGAGGAGGAGGAGGAGGTGGGCGGAGGAGAGGAGAGATAAACTAGAAGGGAGGCCCTCGTGTCCTGGAGACACCACTTTCGATCCTGCTCGTCGCCCAGGGCGTGGGCAGGGCATCTGAACAAGGGGTCAGTCCCGCGCTTGTCGTGGACACCGCAGACGGGGCTGAGGGCAACATCTGGAGCAGGGGGACGAGAGACGCACAGCCGCACCTCCGTCCAGGCTGGGCTGGACCTGAGGGTGCTCGAGTCCCCTGCCAAGTACCTACTTCCTTGGGAGGACCGCGCAAAGGGGGGGGAGGAGAGGAGGATGGTATGCCGCGCAGGCCTGTGTTTCAAGGTGCCCTGATTTTCGGCTGCGTATCGTCTGAGCGTGCACATGAGCACCTTCTCGACTCGCTTCTCTTCCAGCGCGTAAGCTGTCGTTTTGGATTGGCGCGCTGCTCTGTTGAGTCCAGAGCAGTCCAATTCAATTCGTTGTCACATTCTCTTGCGCTAGTTACGCTGAACCTTGGTGCGCGGGGAGTGCGAACGTGTTCAGCCTTGCAGGTGCGCTGAGGGTGACAAACGGTCTGCTTCGGCTGGCTCAACAGGGGGCAGTGCTCGGCGAAAGAGATGGGGCCGGGGTGGGGAGCGGGGATGCAGCAAGATTCGAGAGGGGAAGGGCGGAAGCGGCGTCCTCAAATGCTCTCTCGCCCGTCCTCCCTCTTCCCACTCACCCACCCGTGCCTTCTTGGCCACAGCGCCGAGGGTGGCCATGAAGGGCATCGATCTGCCGGGCGGAGGGTAAGGGCAGATGCCCCTGGTCCACCGCTCCTGGAGAGCGCTGGCTCGACGCCCTGTGGTGCTGTCGCAGCCGGACCTCCTGCGTCCCCCCCCCCCCCCTGGCCGCCCCAGCCGCCCGCCGCCCCCCCTGAAGGCAGCCGAGCTCGGGCCGCCGGGCCGCCGAGCCGAGCCTGGAGCCGATCGCGGCCGTCATCCGGGGGCGCGGGGGGAGGGGGCCGAGGACCTCGCGTCTCTCGCCGGCGGCGTCTGGGAGTGCCCGGGCGTGGCCGGGGGACGGGCAGCGGCAGCCTGCGCGTGGCGACTGGCGCCGCAGCGCCAGCGTACCCCGCGCCGCCCGTGCACACCACAGCAGCCGCGTGCAGCACAGCGCCGGTGTGTGTGTGTGTGTGTGTGTGTGCCACGGTGCCCGTGTGCACCACAGCGCGCCCCGGAGCTCGGGCCGAGGGCCGCCCCACTCGAGGGCAGCAGCACGGGGACCACATGACCCGTGTGTCGCGGGGTCTTGTCGACGCGCTGGTCTCGGTCATGGCCTGCGTCGGGCGTCGCCGGATCGCGGGGACGATCCACGAAGTGAGGAGGCCGACCAGGATCGGCGTGGACCAAGATCGGCACGACGTTTCTGCTCTCAGTCTTGGTCATGGTCCCCGTTTTCTTCCTTTCCCCCCCCCCCCCCCGCCTTCCCCCCCCTTACCCCCCGTCGCGGGGACCCGCTACGTTTCCAGCCTGCTCACCGGCATGGGCCCTTGCTGCGGCATGGGCGGAGGGCCCAAGTGCCTGGTCGCGAGCTCCTGGGGCCGTCGCCGCACTCGCCTGTGCTCGCCGCGACTTCGGGGGGTCTCCGCGCTCAGCAGCCGAAGCCAGGGAGGCATGGTCCCCCCCTTCGGTAGCAAATCGTGGGAGCCTTGGATACCCTCACAAGTCCGTCTTTGGAGTACACTCGCGTCGACTAGCGTCTGGCAGCAGACGAGGTCGTGCCGATTTGGCGTCCGCTAGCCTCGATCCAGCATCGATTGACGTCGATCAGGGCCGCTTGCCGTCGATGCGCAAGAGCCAGCAATATGGGATGTGAGGCTCCCGTGCGTTGTCGCCCCCCCCCCCCCCCCCCCCCCCCCCCCCCCCCACACGACGAGGATGCACTGCTCAGCTTCCTCAAGGAGACGAACGAGAAGGCGGTGCGGCAGCTGAAGCAGGCGGGGGCGGGGCACGCCGGGCGGGCGCGGGCCACGGCGCGACTGGGGGCGGCCGCCCAAGGGAGGCCAGGGACTTGGCAGGCCGTGGAGGTCCAGGGCCCGTCTGCAGCTGTGGGCCCCTTGCAGCACCCCTGCCTCCTCGGCCCGCCCTTGGCCACTCTCTCGCGGGCCGCGCCCCGCTCGAGGAGCGTCGGAGGCCGGGGTGTGCTGGGAGTCTCCCTCGGCCGCACAGGCCGTATCAAAGTGAAATTAGCGATGGTCGAAATTCGTCCGACCTGTTGGCGATGTCGGTGTTGCACATCTGTGTGTATATATACGTATATGTGTATATCTACATATAAATAACACTGTTTCGGTATACATTTACGCGCACACATACGCACGCTTTATACAAGTACAACTATACATATATATATATACATATATATATATATATATATCCATACACGTTCACATTCACACAAGCATTAAGGCGCACGCGTGTACATACTAGCACGTCCAACACTGGTGTACAAAGAAGAGCAATCATAAATGCATGCGCCCATACAGACAGACAGAAACGTAGACAGGTGTGAAGCGCAGTTAAGGAGTCATCACTCGCGTTGAGTGAAGGGACTTGGAGACACACGAAGAGAACAACGGCCACAGACAAAAGGGGCTAAGGAAACAAACGAAAGGGGCACGCAAAAGGGACAAACGGGGACGGACTAAAGCATGAAACAAACGCATAACATCTACCCCTTATCACAATAAAAAAGCTCTTGCGGGGCGGCGATGTGACGATACTGACGATAACGATGATGATAATGATGATGATGGTGATGGGAGAAGAGATAAGAGGGGGAGGTGGAGAAGGCGGAGGAGAAGGAGGACGAGGAGGAATCTGAGTGACGAGAAGAGGGATTTCGGAGGAGGAGGAGGATGAGCGAGACGTGATGAGTCGCCACCCGATGAAGCAAGCCTGACCTACCTGAGCTTGTCTCATGTGGCGTGCGGCAGGGCAGCCGTGAAACCCAGGAGGGGAGACTAGGAGGAGGAGGAGGAGGAGGAGGAGGAGGAGGAGGAGGAGGAGGAGGAGGAGGAGGAGGACGGCGAGGGAGGCTGGGCAGCGTGGTTGCCACAATTTTCTATCACGCGCGCCATCTTCTTCAAGCGCTTGGCAGGGGCCAGAAGTAAAAAATGCACCGGCGAGAGGAGGGAGAGCCGCGTGGGCCACACCCCACGAGAGCTGTATGGGAAGAGGGCCTCGGGGCGCAGCGTGCTGGAGCCTCCGTGGGCGCGCGGGCCCTCCGGTGGGCTGTGTCCGAGGGCCTCGGTGGGCAGCGCGCTGGGGCCCCCGTGGGCGCACTCGGGGCCTCCGTGGGCGGTGTCCGGAGGCCTCGAGATAATAATTGTTTCGGAGGTGGACAGACCTCCTACCCTGACACGTCGATTAGTGAATTGGCCGTTTTCGGTTCGCGAGGGGGCGTCGCGGCCGTCATTTTTGCGGGTCCAGGTCCGTCGAATTCGGTCCCAGGTCGTTTTCACTAAGGGGAGGTTTACGAAAGGGAGGTTTGTCCACCGCCGATTGTTGCTGATTTCCGGAAGCGGTTCCGCGCGCTCTCGCCTCCACGCCGGGGACCAAAGGGACAAGCGAAACGCACGAGAGAGAAGAGGGCAGACAAAAGAAAAGAGGGGACAAGACAACCACGAATTCAACACCTTTCCTTCTTTCGGTGGGGATCGCTTGAATGATAGCAAGTTCCTTCATATTTTTGAAAGGTTCTGGCGTCCTCGCCTTTTGGGCTTCCCGACGCTCCAACACGGCCCAATGGGCCCCCAATGTGACCCCAAGACAGCCCAATATCGGACCAAGAGATTCCCAAGGTTGCCCCAAGTTAGCCTAAAAAGCTTTCAAAAGAAACCATCGAGGCCCGAACGAACCCCCAAGACGGGCCGAGTGCCGCCCGTGATGTAGTTTTTCATTTTTTCGTTTTTTGTCGACATTTGGAGCCTCCCGAGACCTCCGAGAACTTTCACAGCGTTGCGGGGCGCCATCTTTCAATAGGATTCCTTTTGTTCAGGATTTCAATACGTCTCCTTTTGTAGAGGATTTCAATCGGATTCCCTTCGTCGAGGAATTCAATCGGATTCCTTTTGTCGAGGAGTTTAGTCGCATTCTTTCTGTGGAGGACTTCAATAGGATTCCGTTTGTAGAGGCCTTCGATTCTGTTGTTACAAAGATTTCAACAGGATTCTTAAGGATTTCAATGCGTCTCCTTTCGTAAACGATGTCAATCGGAGTCCTTTGGTAAAATGATTTCAATAGGATGCCTTTTGTCGAGGATTTCAATAGAATTCATGTGGTAGAGGATTCCAATTTGATTCCTTTTTGTGGAGGAATTCAATACAATTTCTTTTGTAGGGGATTTCAATCGGATTCCTTTTTGTAAAGGATTTCAGTACTCTTCCTTTTGTGGTGGGCCACTACAGAATTCCACCATAAACTCGTTTCAATGCTTTTAGGTTTTCAGGTGTGTATTCATGGAAAAAATCGAAAGAACATGTTTCGCCTGTGACTCCCTATGCACACCAGCCGAAATCATTTCAGGAGGGAAAAAACACACAGGCACAATTAATCCTCTCCCCAGAAAACAAGGGAAAATACGGGAAGTGGGGGGAAGACGACCCCCCCCTTAAATACGGGCAAATATGGGCAATATTTTTACTTGCGTGTATTTACTTGTGTGTCCTGGGGCTCCTTGATCGCTGGATATCAAAAATTCTCAGGGAGTCACAGGTTCATTGAACATCCTTGGTTTTCGATATTATTTGTTACGTGTATGCATTTGCAGATTTTTTAATATATGTATATAAGTATATGCACAAACGACAATATCTTTTCTTTTATAACGTCAGCAACTATTGGAAACATATTCTGTTGGAGTTCCGATGAGGCAGATTCCGTTAGTAGGGGATCTCAAGAGAATTCTTTTTGTTCGGTTTTCAATCGGATCCCTTTTGTCGAGGATTTCAATGGAATTTCTTGTGTAAAGGATTTGAACATGATTCCTTCTGTTGAGGATTTCAATCGGATTCCTGGTGTAAAACGATTTCAAACGGGTTCCTTGTGTAAAGGATGTCAGTAGGAGTCTTTCTGTAAGCGATTCCAATAGGAGTCCTTGTGTCGAGAATTTGAATCGATTTCCTGTTGTAGAGGATTTCAAATGGGCTTCATTTGTAAAAGATTTCAATATGATTCCTTTTAGAAAAGGATTTCTAAAAGGATTCCTTTTGGCGAAGATTTCGATGGACTTCTCTTTGTAGAGGGTTCCAATCAGATTCCTTCTGTAGAGGAATTCGATCGAAGTCCGTTTTTCAAGCGTTTCAATATAATTCTTGTTGTGAAGGATTTCACTCGGATTTTTTTGGACAGAATATCAATCGGATTCTTTGTGTCGAGAATTTGAATATAATTCTTTCTGTGGCCGACTTACATGTTGAATCTTGTTGTAGCGGGTCCGCAATATAAGCCCTTCGACGGCGGATTCGTTGTACGGCGGTACGCTTACGACGGCGTCAACGACCAGAAGGGGCCCCACCCACATGTTGAACTTGTTTCCGCCGGGGGGGCTCCCAGAGCGCCCCGTTCTCTTTCGAGGGGGGCGCCCAAGGCCCTTGCATCCTCATCGCGCATCCTTATGCTACGGGCCGACCGTGCCAGGCTGTTCGCGGTTCGGTCGGCTCGCTGGCGTCGCAGCCAGTTGCGTTCGGTCGGTCAGGTTCGGTCGGTTATGTCGTGCGTTTGCTGCGCCGCCGCGCCCTGCTGCGTGGGCTGCTCGCGGCCGGGCGGTTGCGCTGTCGGGCTGGCCGCTTTTCGGCTTTGCTGTCGCCTTGCGCGGCCTCGGAACGTGCCAGATCCCAGCGAGCTTCACGCGGCTGCCTCGACAGTCGAAGGGGGCTTCCTTTTGTCTCCCTTCCTGGGGGCGGGCCGAGGCGCGACTCGCTCTCCTCGCCTCCCTGCTTCGTGTCCCAAGCGGCTGCTTCCAGACGGCCTGTGGGCGCGCGGCGCATCGTGAATATCTCACGTGGCTGGCCTTACACATCTCCTCTTCTTGGGTCCGTCCTCCTCCCAAGCCCGCGGCGGCCAGACGCAGCTGCAGTCGTCCGGGCATGGATCTGTGACCGCCGTCGAACCCTCACCCCCGCTCTCCCCGCGGGTCCAGGGGACGCCGAGGTCTCGGATGCTCGAGCAGGGGGTCCACTGGGTCACCTGGTCGCTGGCATCCTTCGTCCTTCAGGTCCTGAGCCCCCTCTCCGAGTTTCTGTCGGAAGTCCGAGCTGCAGGGGGAGGGGCTCGCACGGGGTATCTCACGGCCGTCCGATGGTCCTATCTCCCTGCCCTGCATCCTTGCCATGGCTCTTGACGGTGGCGTCCAGATCCGTCGACATCGGGGCGCAGAGGTCGGGGAGCTGCACCCAGAGGTGCAGCGCGTGGCCGCGCCGGAAGCGCACGGGCCTGCCACGGAGCGATGAGGGCACGGAAGGGCACCGAGGCTGATGAGGGGCGCGGGCAGCCAAGGCACCGCCAGAGTGAGTCTGCGTCCATGCCTGCCGCTTGGGGGTCGTCTCCCGTCGTGCCCTGGGGCCCCGAGGAAGGGCAGGTGTGGTGTGTCTGCCAGCCCCTGCTCGGGGCCGCCTGGGGCCTCCTGGGGGCATCTTGAAGACTTTGGGGGGACATTGCAGCTTGCAGCCGAAGTGGACTGGTCTTGGGCCGTATTCGAGCAGAGGACGAGAAGGGCGTCAGGGAGCGATCCTAGGCGGAGGCGACCTTGGACCAGTGTCTGTCCCGTGGGGGGATGTCGTCCTTGGAACTTGGAAAGTTACATATTACTAACAAGCATTCAAACACTCGGCTATCGTGCAAGCGCTGTGGAGGATTACTGCCGCCTCCTCCTCCCTTCCCCCGCCTGGGCCACCTTCCACCACAATGAATATCCCCTTGACAGTGTATCTTCCTCTTGGGGTAGACAGGGTTGGAGACAAGACGGACTGGCCACGGGACTGGGCGAGGGGGGCGGGGTGAGAGGAGAGAGAAGAAGTGAGAAGGGGACAGGACGGGACGTGGAGGGGATGGCGGGGGAACGAGGGAGGCGAGGCGGAGGAGAAGGCGAGGGAAGGAAGGGAGGGGGGTCAGCGGAGCGCATGGGGAGGAGAGAGAGGCCCAGACCTCCAGCGGGCTGACTTTCTCAATCCGTGGGCCCCTTGGCCCTAGACCCTCCCCGAGGGTGGCATTCCATCCCTGGGTTCCACGACGAGATCGTGAGAAGCGTGCGCGTTGAACAAATCACGACGTCGGAGGCCTGGCTTCAAGCTGCAACGCCCGCTGGACCTCTCCTGGGGTGTGTCCCAGGCAGCATCGCGAGGAGGGCGCCGGCCGCCGCGACAAGCAGACCCTCCCCCGGAGGCCCACAGGGGAGCGAAGGTGCCACAAAACCTCGAACTTCGATCCTCGATCCTCCAACCTCGATCCTCGATCCTCCATCCTCGATCCTCGCTCCGCTTCTCGATCCTCGTAACTCCTCGATCCTCGCTCCGCTTCTCGATCCTCGTACCTCCTCGATCCTCGCTCCTCGATCCTCGATGCTTGGACCTCCTCGATCCTCGATCCTCGAACCTTCTCGACCCTCGATCCTTGATCCCTCCTCGATCCTCGCCCATCGTCCACCCTCGCCCCCTGCCTCCTCGCTCCCTCCTCGATCCCGCCGGATCCTCGATCCTCGAACCTGGCCCCCAGCCTCCCCCCCTCCTCGCCCCCTCCGCGAGCGCGCGCCCCGGCCCGCCCAGCCGCTCAAGCTGAGCGTGCAGGGGGCCTTCGGGCGCAACCACGTGACGCCCCGGGGTCCGCCGCAGCCGCCGTCCTCGCCTCGTGGAGGGCGGAGGGGGAGGGAGCGCCCTCGCGCGATCTCTCAGCCACGCGCAGAGGGGGGTCGGAGGGGGGAGGGCTTCTGAGAAGCACCCCTGCTTCTCAGAAGGCGCGGGCCTCATCTGTAGATGTAAGGCCGGCGCCTTCTAAGAAGCAGCCTTCGTCTAAAAAGCCCTCCCCCCTCCCCCCCCCTTGTGCTCGCCGCCAACTCTCGGCGGCGGACAGGGAGCGGCCCTCGCGCGTGAGCTTCTCGACCTGTCTTCGGGTTGCGGGAGGACGGAGGGGATAGAGGGATGGGCGAGGAGGAGGGATGAGGTGACGAGCAGGGGCGGGATGGAGGCGGAGGGGGAGTAGGGAGGAGGAGGAGGGACGAGATGCTGTTGGTGATGATGCTGACGATGCTGACGATGATGATGATGATGATGATGATGATGATGATGATGATGATGATGATGATGATGATGATGATGATGATGATGATGACGATGATGCTGATGCTGATGCTGATGCTGATGCTGATGCTGATGCTGATGCTGATGATGCTGGTGCTGCTGATGATGCTGATGATGATGATGCTGCTGATGCTGATGATGATGTAGGGGATGATGCTGATTATGACGATACTGATGATGATGATTTCGATGCTGGTGCTGATGCTGCTACTGCTGATGATGAGGCTGATGATGATCCTGACGATGATGACGATGCTGGTGCTGATACTAATGCTGGTGCTGATGCTGAAGCTGGTGATGCTGATGCTGATGCTGATGCTGATGATGCTGGTGCCGATGATCCTGATTCTAATGATGATGATGGTGATGATGATGACGATAATGACAACGATGAATATGCTGACGATATGATGACGATGATGAAGATGAAGAAGAAGATGATGATGATGATGATGATGATGATGATGATGATGATGATGCTGACGACGATGATGATGATGCTGCTGATGATAATGCTAATGATAATGATGCTGCTCATGATGGTGACGATGATGACGACGATGATGATAATGATGATGCTGCTGCTGATGATGATTACGATGGTGATGATACTGATGATGATGATGCTGATGCTGATGATGCTGGTATAATGATGCTGCTAATGCTGGTGCCGCTGATGATGATTACGATGGTGATGATGATGGTGATGGTGATGATGCTGATGATGCTGTTGCTGCTGCTGATGATGCTGCTGATGATGCTGATGGTGATTATGATGATGCTGCTGCCTATGATGATGCTCCTGATGATGCTGATGATGATGATGGTAATGATGAAGGTGCTGCTGCTGCTGCTGCTGCTGATGATGATGATGATGATGATGATGATGATGATAATGGTGGCGGTGGTGGTGGTGGTGTTGGTTGTGCTGGTGGCGATGATGATGCTGCTCATGACGATGCTGATGATGCTGATGCTGATGATGCTGGTGCTGATGATGATGATGCTGATGCTGATGCTGATGATGCTGATGATGATGATCTGATGCTGATGATGCTGATGATGCTGCTGATGATGATTCTGATGCTGCTGCTGATGATAATGATGGAGGAGAAGAACGAGGAGAAGGATGATGAGGAGGGAGGTGGAGGAAGAGGAATCCAGATGGTGATGACGATAGTCATGATGATGATGATGGTGATGATGGTGATGATGATGATGATAATGGTGGCGGTGGTGGTGGTGGTGTTGGTTGTGCTGGTGGCGATGATGATGCTGCTCATGACGATGCTGATGATGCTGATGCTGATGATGCTGGTGCTGATGATGATGATGCTCATGACGATGCTGATGATGCTGATGCTGATGATGCTGGTGCTGATGATGATGCTGATGCTGATGATGATGCTGATGATGATGCTGATGATAATGATGGAGGAGAAGAAGGAGGAGAAGGATGATGAGGAGGGAGGTGGAGGAAGAGGAATCCAGATGGTGATGACGATAGTCATGATGATGATGGTGATGATGGTGATGATGATGTTAATGATGCTGATGGTGGTGATGATGGTGGTGATGATGCCGATGCTGATGCTGATGATGCTGCTGATGATCATGCTGATGATGCTGATGCTGCTGCTGCTGATGATGATGATGGTGATGATGATGATGATTATGGTGGTGGTTGATAGTTGATGATGATGATGATGATGATGATTATGATGATGATGATGATGATGATGATGATGATGATGATGATGATGATGATGATGATGATGATGATGATGATGATGATGATGATGATGATGATGATGATGATGATGATGATGATGATGATGAGAGGAGGAGGAGGAGGAGGAGGAGGAGGAGGAGGAGGAGGAGGAGGAGGAGGAGGAGCAGGAGCAGGAGCAGGAGCAGGAACAGGGAATCGATGGCTTCGGTCCTGTGGCGAGCCCGTCCGCAGCTCGGGCTCCGGGAGCAGGAGGGCGGCATGTGGGGGGGGGTACCGAAACTTGCTGCAAGCGGCTGGTTCTGGCCCGGGCGCCTTCCTCGCTACGTTGGCGCCTCGGGCGCCGGGGAGCGCCTTGTAAGGGAGCTGCGTGAGTTGGCGCGCAACTCTCCGCTCTGCTCGCCCCCCGTTTCCGTCTGACCCGAGGGTCGGGCAGTGCGAGCAATCTGACAACAGTCGGCGGCGGGCGAGGGGTGGAAGTGAGAAGGAGAACGCCCCCCCATCGGGGCGCGCCGCCGCGCAGGCATGACGGCCGCCACCCTGGGGCAGCTGGTCTGCGTCGAAGGCCTCGGGCGGAGGGAGGAGGAAGATCGGAGGAGGACGAGGCACGCCTCGTTTTCCCCTTCTTGGGCCTCCTGGGCGGCCCTCGCCCCCACCGCTGGACTCGCCTTGAAGTCCTGGTCAGAACGCGCCCTGGGAGAGGTCCGGGGAGTAGCGGTATCGGTGCTTTTCGGCTTCCTTGGGAGCCTTGAGATGGGGGTCAATGCAACCGGGGTTCAGCCAGAGCGCCCGATCTTGCAGGATCCTGCAGGGCCAGGGTCGCATTGGCCCGGGTTTGGGTGCAGAATCCTGCAGGATCTTGCAGGATTCTTCGCGTTGACCCGGGTTTGGGCGCAGGATCTTGCAGGATCTTGCAGGATTCTGCAAGAGCTGACTGGCCCGGGTTTGGATTCACCCGGGTCCGAAGATCCCCGACTTCCCCAGAAGAGGACGAGGTGGCGGCAAGAGCAAAGCAGGAGGAGGCAGGCCAGCCACAATTGGGGGAGCTGTGGTCCTTACCCCCCTGGGGGACCCATCGATTTCGACACCCCTCTCGAGAGATCATCGATGCGATGGGTTCCCCCAGGGGGGTAAGGACCACAGCTCCCCCAGTTATGGCTGGTCGGGGAGGCGGGAGAAGGAACTCGCCATCCCGGGTGCGGCAACGATCAAGACCCGCCAGCTGCAGGCGAGGCCCGCGCGGCGCACGGCGCCCCCGGCCACGGGCGGCGGCCGCCGAGTGCTCGCCGCGCGGGGGGTGCTCGCCGCGACGGCCTCGCTGCCCTCACGTCGGGCCTGTCCCTCTACAGGAGGAATGTTCAAACACAGTATTACAAAACATAGCGTTTATATATTCATATATATATATGTATTATATTGAAATATTGCGGAGGGAGGAGATCGGGAGCGGCGTTGCAGTCGGGAGCTTTGGGATGGCGTGTCTCTCCGGGGGGTTCTGGCCCACCACGCCTCGGTGCGACACGGTATCCACTTCTGGGTCCCCTCCCGCTAGCCGTTCCGAGCCTCCCGCTCCGCGGAGCGGAACGACACGCTATCCACTCGCAAGGCATAGCGTGTCGCTGGGGCCGCCGTGGCGACACGCATAGTAAATGTTCCCGACCGCAGGGGGAGATGAATTTAGGGAGAGGGCGTTCGAGATTCGAGGTTCGAGGATTTCGGACGTTTCGTCGGTTCCCGTCGGGTGTCCAGCATCGGGATGTGTTCCAGCAGCTGCGCCTCGCCGAGTCTTCTGGGGGTGCCCGAATCGTCCCGAACGTCTGCCAGAGAGCTGAGTCATGACCCGAAACCCAGGGGTAACGTTAGGGGGGATAGGCTCAGGAGAGCTGCATCGACCCCCGATCGCCCATTGATCGCCGACAGGGGCCCGATAACCCCACCACGCCCAGGAGCGTGCCGATGCGCGATCGGAAGCCGATCTGCGTCGAAGGCCTCTGGGGAGGGATGAGATCGGTGGCGTCCAGGTGGGGCGAGGACCGGGTGCGGGGGGGGACGGCATGGCCGGGGACATCGTGCCTCCCCGGATTTCATGGCACCTCGCTCTCTTTTCGAGGCGTCCCCTGCCCCCCCCCGGGCCGCGCACGTGCCTTTGGCTCTGACTTGGGGAGCCTCTTCCTGGAGGCCCCCCTCGTGGACGCCTCCGAGGTGGGGGAGCGAGGGTCGACGAGGCTTAAAGATCGCGGGTCGAGGCTTCTGGGCGCTCGCCGCCCTGTCTCTGGGCCTCTCAGATTCTACGGTCCGAGCAGATGGTGTCGGAGGATCGCGCCGCATCGCCGATGCTGCATAGGCGATGCGGCTTGACGTGGAACCCGATTCTCTCCAAGCCGACGTCGCCGAGGCATCGCCGAATGCATCGACGAATGCATCGACGGCGCATCGGCGATGCATGGGCGAGGCGGTGCGGTCCTCCGACCCTCTCTGCTCGGATCCCATCCGGTGGGCCTCTGCTTTGGCGCCCAGCCTGGTCCCTCGTGGGGCTGGGGCGCGGGCAGCGGGAGCGGATGGCAATGTCGATCGCCAGCGGCCCCCCCTCGCGTGCCGCCAGGTGCCCCCAGAGGCCCTGAGCCCCTGCCGTGCCCTCTCGGGCGGCTCGTGGAAGCGTCCTGGCAGGCACCTCTCGGGCGCCTCGTGTCGGGGTCGACCAAGAGGGGGGTGATCACTAGGGGTGTGTGGGTGTCATGGCGGGGGCCATGATATCTCCCCAGATTCCACGGCGCCTCTTCTTATTTCGTTACGTCCCTGGGTCCCCCCCCTGGGCCGCGCATATGCCGCCAGCCATGATTTGCGCCCCCCCCCCCCCCCCCCCCTCCCTTTGACCCCCCTCTTGGCCGCCCCCGATCTTGGAAGCGTCCTGGCAGGTACCTTCGGGCGCCTCAGGGAGGCGCCCGGGAGGTACATCCCTCAGACGCGCGGCAGCCGTGCGCCGATCTGGGGCCCCGCAAGGATCGGTGCATGGTGGGTAGTCGGCGCCCTCCCAGACGGTGGAGGCCGAGCAGGAGGGGCCGGAAGAGAGGGTGGGGGGGGTAACGGGGGGGGTATGTTGTATTGTTCCGCTTCCCCACTCAACATTGTGGCCCGGCGGGCGCATACTCTATGCCCTTCGGGGCCCTCTTACCTGTTTTCGATTCCGTGAGCCTTGCAGTTTCTGCTGCGCCCGCCAGGATTTATCCGCTTGCTGTCGGCCCAAGTCGGCGTTCGGAACTTTTGCATCCTAGCGCTTCAGGCTCTGTCCTTGAGTCGGCGCAGCGTCAAAAGGGTAACCTGGGTGGTGGTGGGGTGGTGGTGGTCACTGCGTACCGTGGAGACCCATGACAAGAAACACCCTTCCTCCAGGGTGCCCTGTGTTTCTGGGGCTTCGATGGTTTTGCTGTGGGAAGCGTGACGCTCCCACAACAGAAATCCCTGGACGTCCTGGGTGTCTCAGGGTTGGTCTTCTCGTGGAAGGTTTCCTGTGGACTGTCCTCCACTGCAGGGCAGACAGGTCCCGAGCAGGGCAGCACGCGCCGCGACCACGACGCCGTCGACAAGACGACGGATAGGCGAGGCTCTGCGGGCGCTCCGCACGCCAGCACGGACACCGGGGACCTGAGAAAATGGTCTAAAACCTACAGGGTCGGCTCCGACGGCACGCTGCCGAGAGGTGCTGCCTCCCGACCACGGGCCCTCCGGGCATCGGCCAGGGTCTGGGCATCGCTCGGGCGTGTGCATGTTTCCTTCGGCGAGGGCCATCGAGGAGCATCCTTGATCACTTGGCGAGAAAGCCACGCACGAAACCGAACAAAAACACAGGGAATGGACGTCCGAGCGATGGCCAGGGGTGCAGACTGGACTCGTCTGGGCCTCTGGGGGAGGGGGGTGGGGAGGCACATGCACAGTGTCGTGCGCGGCGCTCTCTGGGAGCAGCGTGCGATCCCGGCAGTGATGGTCATGCAATGAGGGCACAGCGATACGTGCGGTTTTTTGGGCACTGGATGGCACATGGGGTGGACATGCCATCAGCACCACGATGCTCCATTGCATGTTTTGCCGACCGACACACCGTATGACCAGGAGTGCTGAAGGGTGCTGATGGGATGGCGACCTCCCTCCAAAGCCGCTCCCAGTCCACTTCCCTTTCTCCTCCTCCGCCCCTCTCTTCACATTCGTGTCTACTCCCTCCCACTCCACTCACCTCCCCCTTCCCCTCTCCCTCCATCCTTGCTCCTTTTATTGATCTATTCATACATCTACTCCTACTTTGCCACCTAGCTGGCCGACAGGAATCCACTCCAGGGCCTTTCCATCCCATTTGAAACGAACAACAACGCAACATCGACGTTGATGCTCTCGCCGTGGACGTGTTGGCGCCGAGGTCGCGAGATGCACGGCAGGAATGGGACAGGTCGCACACCTCGAGCCTCAGAGTTGAGCTCCTGCTTGGGCGTGGGTCACATTTTTCGCATGCCAAGTCGTCGACGCGTGAGCGTAAGAAAATGCCGCGCGCGACGTGTCGCCCTCGCCGAAGCTCCAGGCACATGTGTCTTGGAAGTGGCGTTCCCGTGCGGGCGCGGCTTCTGTTTCGCTCGCTCGGTCGACTGCAGCGGCGGCATTGGCAGCGGAGCCGCGCGGGAGCGACCGAGATGTGGTTCTCGCCCAAGCGCCGCACAGATTGTGCAAGAAAGTGCGCAGTGCTATTTCGGCGCGGCGCCTGCTTCGTCTTCACCGAGCCCATCGGAAATTCGGCCGCCCGAATATATATATATATATATATATATATATATATATATGTTAAATCTGAGGGTTTCCTGAGTTTCGCTCCCGCTTCCGCGAAGGGCTGTCCTTTCGCCAAGCCGTCGGAAGCGGGACCGCGCGCCAGCGTCTGCCGTTCGCCAGGTGGGAGCGTGTTCCAATCCCAACATCAAGTTGTGCCACATTTGATTCTTGCTGTGTTGGAGGGAGGGCGGGAATGGGCCGGGCCCTCTGACTCGTTCGGCCTCGCTTACTTGACTCCAATCCCACTCCCACTCCCACTCCCACTCCCACTCCCACTCCCACTCCCACTCCCACTCCCACTCCCACTCCCACTCCCACTCCCACTCCCACTCCCACTCACTCCCACTCCCACTCCCACTCCCACTCCCACTCCCACTCCCACTCCCCACTCCCGCTCCCGCTCCTGCTCCCGCCTTCCCCTCACTTTCCCCTCCCCTGCCTCCCCGCTCCCAGAGGCATCGTGACGAGGGCCGGCCTGGTCCAGCCGAAGCTGGTGCAGTCCATTCACGTCCGGAAGGACCACTCCGAGTCTCCAGCGCGCGCGACGCGCCTCAGGGCGCTGCGAGACGGCCAGTCGCGCGGCGATGCCCAGGATGAGCCTGGCTGGGTTTGAGTGTCTTTACGTCGTCCCTACCGTTGCAGGCCAGCCTTCATGGGTCGGACGCTTTCGTCTCGAGTCTCCGCCTGAGCCTAGATCGGACGGGCAGGGGGGGGAGCACGGTAGATGGGGCCGTCGATCTCTGTCGTGCTAAATCCGTTTCAGAGCGTTCCTGAACGCTCTCAGAGCGTTCGGGAACGCTCTGAAAAGGCCGCGGCGACGGAGACATCCTCCAAAGCCGCCAGATCTCAGAGATTCCCGGTTTATCTTCACCCGAAGGTATCCTCGTTCTGGCTTCGTCGTCCTGTCAGAGGGGGAGAGGCGCACGGGGGAAGGGGGAGGGGGGGATGAGGATGGTACAGGAAGCGGGGGAGAAGAAGGGGAAGGAGGACGGGAAAGTGAGTAAGGGTAGGAGGAGGAGGAGGAGGAGGAGGAGGAGGAGGAGGAGGAGGAGGAGGAGGAGGAGGAGGAGGAGGAGGAGGAGGAGGAGGAGGAGGAGGAGTAGGAGGAGGAGGAGGAGGAGGGGAGGAGGAGGAGGAGGAGGAGGAGAGGAGGAGGAGGAGGAGGAGGCGGAGGAGGAGGAGGAGGAGGAGGAGGAGGCGGAGGCGGAGGAGGAGGAGGAGGAGGAGGAGGAGGAGGAGGAGGAGGAGGAGGAGGAGGAGGAGGAGGAGGACAGCGCGTCTGGGACCCCCCCCCCCAAGAGCGGTGCAACAACGTATCCAACATCGATACCCCTCACAGTCTTGTTTGACGAGGCCCTTCAGTCCCCCCCCAAATCAGTGCTCCCCCCATTACTAGAAGATACGGGGTACCTTGTTCGGCGTCGCGGCCATGCGCGCGTCGGCGCGGCGTACGCGCAGGTCGTTGAAAGTAGGTGTTGTTTTGGATTCCCAGCTCCCATTCTACTACACGCGCCTTTCTATTTCAAACACCAATCTGCTTTTGTTGCGTCTTGTTACTCTTGGGGCAGGCCCGAGCCCAAGCTGTTTGATCTGCCTCCCTAATTCACGTTCCCACCTACTTCTTCCGACTTTCGGGCAAACCCTAGAGAGCAGTCAGTAAACCCGCCGCCCCCGCCCTCTCACCAGAGGAAGCTACAACGCTTCCAGCACGGGGAGTCGAGGGGGAAGCAGTGCTCCCCACGGAGGCCCGCGACCCAAGACCCTCGTGGCGAGCAGGAGGCTCTTGCTCCTCCTCCTCCTCCTCCTCCTCCTCCTCCTCCTCCTCCTCCTCCTCCTCCCCCTCCTGAGCGAGAACGGCGCGGCTCAGGACGAGGGTTCCGACGGCGGGCTTCTATGGATCCCAAGAGATTCCGTCGCCCTGCGCTCAGAGCTGGGGATCCTGCCCGATGTGGGTGGAGGGAGAGTTGTATATCAGCTTCGAATGGGGCTTCTTTGAGATAACTCTGTGGCTCCTCTGAAGTTTTTTTGACGATGTTATTGTATACCCTTACTCCAGGACGTATTTCATCTCAAGCAGGTGCTATAGTACATTTCAGCATACTTTAGCATGTTTTGAGTCTAACATATCTAGCAACAGTAGGTCTACAACTGTAGACTTAGTGATGCGTACATTGCGAAGGCCTTACGTCGTGAGCCGTCGACCCTGAAGGGGGACGACGACGACGACGACGGCGGCGGCGGCGACGACGATGCTCACGTTGGTCAGAGTCCTCAGAGATGCTTCTTGGGGTTTCTTCGGAGCGCTCTCGGGGGCCTCTGGGGGCAGTTTTGGGGCCTCTTGGGGGCCACTTGGTGGCCTCTCGAGAGCCTCCTGGGGCCTCTTGGGGCTTTCTTGGGGGCCTCCTGGGGCCTCCTGGGGCCTCTTGGGGATCTACCTTTGGGGGGCCTCTTGGGGCCTCCTGGGAGCCTCTCGGGGCCGAGGGCTCGAAATGTCCGTTCGGGTCCCCCGCCTGGCACTCTCTGGGAGCCGTCTTGGGGGCCTCTTGGGCTGTCTTGGAGGCCTCTTGGACCGTCTTGGAGCCCTGTTGGGTCGTTTTGTGGCCCTCTCGGAGGCCTCTTGGGACGTCTTGGGAAGATCTTGGGGGCTTCTTGAGCCGTCTTGGAGCATCTTGAGATCTTGGCGGCCACGGAGGGTGCATTTGCAGGCTGCGGAGGCCCCAGGGGTGCGTTGGGGAGCCTGGGACCCTCCCCTCCCCCATCCCCCACAGCGATTTTGGACCCTGGGGGAGGGGAAACTTGGGAGGGGGACAGCCAAATGTCTCACATGTCTTTTCACCCCCAGCAAGCGGGGGTCGGCGGATTCTGCAGATTCACGCGCCGCGTAGTAAGAGTGACTTCGCCGTCACCTTTGGTGGACGGCTTTCGGGGGACGCTGCGGGGACAAGTCCAATCGCGCGAGCCGCCTCTGCCGCATCGCATGCAACGACCGGCTAGCCGCCCCACCAAAGGTCACTCTTGTCAAGGATCACCATTTCGTGTAGCCGAGGGAGGAGAGGTGGGTGTGTCATGGGCAGCGTTAGGGGGGGTAGGCTCGGGGTGGATGGATCGACCCCCGATCGCCCATTCATCGCCGATGGGGGCCTGATAGCCCATCCTGCCCAGCAACGTGCGGATTTGCTGTTGTGGGCCCATCGTCAAGTCTATCGGCGATGTATCGCCCATTCCTGCTTCCCCCCTGAGCCGGTCCCCCCCCAAGATTCGACTTCGGGGAGGCGCTGACCGGTGGCAAGCCCCAGACGGTGTTCGTGCGATCGCGCGGGGTTGCACTGGAAGAGACCTCTTCGTCGGTCACTCGCTGATTCGGTTGGCGGCTGATTGTCGGCGGCGCGCCAAGGGAGGAAGGCAGAGGGGGCGGGCCTTCTCAGAAGGCTCAGAAGTCCTCTGGCCGTCTGAGAAGCTCTCTATGCCTCCTCCAGAGCCACGACGGAGAGGTTGCTCAGAAGGCCAGATGGCCTCTGAGAAGCCCCACCGCTTTCTGAGAAGGCCCGCCCCCTCTCACCGAGCGCGTTTCACTCTTTGCAGAGTGCCCGCTCGCAGCCGTCCGAGAAACACCTGGCTTGCCTCGACGTGGTGGATCGCGAGCCGCTTGCGAGCAGTTGCTCCTTGCGAGTGGTGGAGCGCGCCTGCCTACCCTGAGGTCGGGCTTGTCCCTCGACAGGAGGAGATTTCACGAGTAGTAAAATGATAGCCTGGGGACGATCTCTCTACTAGTTCTGATTACTTCTGGAATATTTGTTGGCTATTTCTCGTTATTCTCCCAAGATTTCTCCACTATTTCTGATTACTTTTGGAATACCTGCTGGCCACTTTTCGCGATTCCTTCAAGATCCGCCCGTAGGAGGACGTGCCCCTCCCCTAAGCCCCGCCCCCTCGCCCTCCCCCCGACTCGGCGGCGCGCCGAGGGGGCGGGGGTGCGCTCCTCTGAGCCCAGAGGCGCCGCCGCCAGCGTCCCCGACGCTGCTCCCCCCCCCTCCCCGACTCGCAGGCGCGCGCCGAGGGGGGGGGGGGAACGCTCGTTCGGTGGCAGCTCAGGGGAGCCTCGTGTGCAGCCTCGCAGTTTTTTGACGAACGAGCAACACACACCCATACCCACCAGGGGGTCGTTGGGAGCAGGACTGGCTATGGGTATGGGTGCGGGTTGTCGGACCCTAGGGAACGCTCCCGTTCCAGCGGGGACCCCCATCCGACAACACGCACCCATAGCCCTCTCCGACCCCCCTATGGGTATGGGTGTGTGTTGTTGGTTCGTCAGTCTTTGTCTCTGGCCTCGACCTCGGCGTCGATCCTCGCGTCCAGGGAGTCGATGAGAGGCACCGCCGCTTCGCAGCGCGGATCTGCCGCGCCCCTCTGGCGCGCCGCTTTGGCGTCGGCGCCGCGCCGGCTCGCAGGAGCCGACGAGATGAGACGGGCGGCTCCCGGGAGCTGCCACCGAAGGGGGGCGCTTCTGTCCGATCGGGGGAGGCGCCGCCGCCCGCCGGGCGCTGCCCCCTTCCCCGGCCCGGAGGCGCGCCGAGGGGGGGGACGTTCGGGCGCGGCCCTGCAGGAGGGGCTCGACCACAAGAAGCCTCCCGCAATCAGGAGGTCGCAAACATGGATCGAGAGGGCGTGGATTGGCGACGGATCCCGTTTCCATGGGGAATCGCGAAGTTCCGCCGCCGAGCGAGGCGGCACGGGCCGCATTCTGGGGAGGGCACCTCTCCCAGTCCATGGACTTGGCGACCGCGCGCCAAATCCATGGATCGCTAATCCATGTTTGCGCGCCCCCGACACAAGAAACCCAACCCTCAGACCCCAGCGACGTCCGTGGATTTTTGGTGTGGGAACGTCACGCTTTCCATAGCAAAGCCTGCGAAACCCAAGAAAGCCAGGGCACCCTGGAGACAGGCAGGGTGTTTCTTGGCATGGGCAGAGAACTGCATGCGTGAACAGAAACTGTCGACGGTCGGCGCGGATTCCTTGGATCTGGACTAGACCCCCCCCCCTCCCTGGCGCGCGGAGCGCGCCAGGGGCGGCGCCAGAGGCGCCGCCAAGGGGTCCCAGCGCAGATCGAAGACATCGGCGCGGACTGTAAAAAGTGGAAGTTTATGCCGTTTCTGGTTCTCGAAGGACAATGGAGGATGAGGAGGAGGATCGGGGTCCGAGGGCCCTTGTTTTTGCGGCCGTCGACCCCCCTTGTGGGCCGTTCCCTGGGCCCCGGTCCCTGGAGGCAAGCAGGGTTCGGGGATCTTCTGACCCGGGTCAATCCAGACCCGGGTCAGTCAGGCCTTGCAAAATCCTGCAGATCCTGCAGGAGCCTGCACCTGAACCCGGGTCAATGCGAAGGATCCTGCACGATCCTGCGCCCAAACCCGGGTCAGTGCGACCCTGTCCCTGCAGGATCCTGCAAGATCCGGCGCTCTGGCTGACCCCCGTTGGCGTTGACCCCCGTCTCAAGGCTCCCGAAGGGTGTTCCTTGGCATCCCGGCAGGCCGCTCCTCTCCTCGGCGTCCCCCCCTCGGCGCACCGCCGGGGCCCGGCCCGTGCCCTGCAGGAGGGGGGGGGGAGAGGCGGCGG